AATAAGCGTCTATTGCCAGTCGCGTATGCGATTGTGGACGAAGAAAGCACGGCTAGCTAGTCCTTTTTCCTAACACATCTGCGCCATCATGTCGTCCCCGACAGACCGATATGTCTTCTTTCCGACAGGGACAACGGCATATTGAGTGCCGTTGAATTACTGGAGACTTGGCACGAACCCCATGCATTTCATCGGATATGCCTTCGACACCTCCGGAGCAACGTGTTTTCAAGGTACCGGAATAAACAAGTCCGGGGTTTGTGTTGGAGGTTGGGTTCACTGTGTTCTCGCTGCAATTTTAACAGAGTTGACAGGAACTCCATGAATGTAACTCGGACGCATACGATTACCTTTTCAAAATTCCTCTAGAAAAGTGGATCTTGTACAAAGATGGAGGCGTCGATGGGGCACTCTGACAACGAATATGTCAGAGAGTTACAACAATGTCCTCAAAGGTGTTAGGTTCCTGCCCTGTAGAGCGTTGGTACAGGCCACAATGAACAAGACTCTGGATTTGTTTGAACAGGAACAAAAGAAGTCCAGAGGATGCAGGACTCCCATTCCTACTGACCTCTATGCCGCCTATCGGGTGTTGGAAAAGACGGCGGTGACTCACGAGGTGCGATGTGTGGACGCCGACGGATCCCAGTACATGGTGACAACCGGTCTATGCGCCAATGGGAGAGGGCAGAACAAGTATGTATTTTTTAATTGTAATTTTTTTTTTCAATTCAAATGAGTTTATTTTTTTTTAATTTATATATATAAATCATTGTCGAAAATAAGTTTAAGGTCTATTATCAGCAGCAGCGTTGTGCATGTAGGAAGTGGCAGACACATCGAAAACCATGCTCTCATGCAATTCGAGTGTGTCGTCACCGGGGTGATCAACCGGTGTCGTTGTATAATCCCTACTTTTGGACGGAGAACTGGGTTGCTGAACTTTCTAATTGGAATTTTTCTCCAATTGGAAATCCTGACACGTGGCCGCAGGTGGGATGGAATTTGATTTCGCATTGGGAGAGGATCATCTCGAAGCCTGGACCCGGTCGCGCCCAAACGAGACGCTTTAAAATGCAAATGGATCGTCGGGCGCGCCGCAGAAGGGGCCGGGATCAATGCACTAGATGTGGTGATCCCGAACATTTCGCGGACCGTTGCCCGTATTCGCATCCTCCCATCGATCAAACTAGACTCCGCGATGATTGGGGGAACTAGATTTTTTTAGATGAATATTTTGTATTTGGATGATCTTGTATTTGGATGATTTTGTATTTGGATAATTTATATAATGTGTAATCGAACTCGAATTAGTACAATTAAACTCGAATTAGTACAATTGAAGTCAAATTAGTACAATTAAAGTCAATTATAGTGAAATCGAACTCGAATTAGTACAATTAAAGTCAAATTAGTACAATTAAACTCGAATTAGTACAATTGAAGTCAAATTAGTACAATTAAAGTCAATTATAGTGAAATCAAGCTCGAATTAGTACAATTAAAGTCAAATTAGTACAATTAAAGTCAATTATAATGAAATCAAACTCGAATTAGAACAATTAAAGTCAATTAGTACAATTATAGTGAAATCGAACTCGAATTAGTACAACTAAAGTCAAATTAGTACAATTAAACTCGAATTAGTACAATTGAAGTCAAATTAGTACAATTAAACTCGAATTAGTACAATTGAAGTCAAATTAGTACAATTAAAGTCAATTATAGTGAAATCGAACTCGAATTAGTACAATTAAAGTCAAATTAGTACAATTAAAGTCAATTATAGTGAAATCGAACTCGAATTAGTACAACTAAAGTCAAATTAGTACAATTAAAGTCAAATTAGTACAATTGAAGTCAAATTAGTACAATTAAAGTCGAATTAGAATAATCTCGGTCAAAATTAGTACAATCGAACTTGAATTAGTATATAATATATAGTATACAGTATATAATATATAGTATATAATATATAATATATAGTATATAATATATACCATATAGTATATACCATATATAACATATAGTATAAACTATAGTGTAAAAAATTATTTATAAATAAACGGATTTTGAAAATCCGTTTTGACCATTCAACGAGAAAAACGGATTCTCAAAATCCGTGTTGACCATTCAACGATAAAAACGGATTCTGAGAATCCGTTTTTCGGTTAATAATAAAAAAAAATCGAAACTTTTTCCCCATTTCGTCTCTCTCTCTTCTCGACCTCACCGATCAAAACCCTCCCTTCCCCTCGGCCCTCTTCTCTCCTCCGCGACCTCCGCCGCTGCTACCTCATCGCCGCCGCCTCCGCGACCTCCGCCGACTGCCGCCGCTGCGCC